AACAAAGACATGAATACCTGGACCATAAACCTGGGCACAGATAATCTTGTTTCACTACTATTTTACTGAATTAATGATATTCCGATGCAATTGTTTATAATAATATCCTTAAGGTACTACTACGAACAGAGAAAGGCTAACGGTTGTGTTAGGTTTAGTGGTGTTAGTTTTGGATAAACGGGACAGGCAGTTTAGACAATACAGAGTTTGAAATTGCCCAATTTTCACTGGCCAAGAGAAGATTCCCTGACTGAAAGCAAGGCTCAGTTAGCTTGTTTTTTTTCTTTACTAAGTACTACCTTCCAGCAGAAGAGCTACTAGATCCCATTTTCCTTATATCGTATTTCCTTTTATCATTAGAAATAAAATCAAAAGAAATTTTGCCTCTTTTAGCTACTGAGAGCAAACAGCAAAACAGTTCTTAGGAATCTTTTGAGCTCTTTCCCATAGTCTCTGCTACTGGAATAACTGAGCGAAAGATGTATTTGAGTATAATTTTGTGATTTACCACTTTATGTCCATATAAGTGCATGTATATGTGTACAAAGGTGAATTTGTGTCTGTAGATGTATTTACACATTCAAGCACATAAACATGGTTTCATAAGTTCAATATTTAAGTTATTTTCTTTATACTTTATTTGACATATAGATTTTGGTTCTCAGCTCTCTATTGATACTGTAAATATTTCCCAGACACACTATTACTGGTTCTAGCATAGAGCTATCATAAAACAGCCTCACTGACAAATTTAGGGTTTATTTGAATTACAAACACAAGACAGGAGCTTTCTATACCACTGAAAGAGAAATCAGATCCTGCATAAGCTTATTTTTCCTTCACATGATAGTATGTTAGCAAGCAAAGGATGTTTATAGACACTTTTAAAAATTGTGTTTTGAAATGAAGGAATCAAATATAACTTAATTTCACAGTAATTAAGATGACTTAACTATAAGTATCAATATATGAAGTGGAATTGCTAACAGCTAGCCTTAGATAGGAAAGAAATTCACATATGTAACAAATTTTCTGAAGTATTATGGTTGGATCTTTTTCACAGTCCTTGGACAGCGACATTCTGAGTCTTTTTGTGGTCTTGATTCTATAAAAACCTACATGAAATATGCCAGTGCATGACTATAAGAGAACTAGCAAATTTTTCAGCTCATGCAATACGAAGAGAAAAAGAGAAAAAAAAATATTTCTATATTTTCCCCTTCAGTTATGAAATGGTTTAGTTTTAAGTAGACTGAAACACATACCCATATCTTCACAGACACATAAAGACATCCACAGCAAACTGTTCCAGAAAATAAGTTATCACTAGAAAATTATGCTTTCATAGAAAGCCTGACAATGTTTCCTCTTTTGACACTCAAGTAAAACACATTAAATTCAGTCTGCCAGAAATGGCTACACTTCCACTCTGTGAAAAATACGCTAAAGATGAAAATAAGAACTTGACAATTTACTGAATATGAAGAAGAAAATTTGTAATGAATTGCCTGCATTGTAGTGTTCCTTTTAGGCTTTTTTTTTTTTTTTTTTTTTTTTTTCCCCAGTTGCTATGAAATACTAGAAATAGCATAAAAAAAGAATATTCCATTTTATGGGATGTTGCACATGTCACTCAAGACAGAGGGCTTAGAAATAAAGACAAAAGTCAGCTGTGGGATATATGAAATTCAAAACAGTAATAAATAATAGGTTTAAATACTATCTTTCCAATACAAGAAATAAATACAAAGAACAAAACAGAAATGCCAAAAAAAATCCAACCCAAACAAATAAACCCCAACTGGCAACTAGCAAGTTGAAACCTAGAATAATTCACCTTAGACCTATAAGAAAAAGCAGTTTGGTAGGTTATTCAGATGTTGCAACAAAAGCTCAAAAATCCATTAAGCCAGGCATGTCTTCAAGTCCTGGGCCAGATTTCAATTCTCATTGCAGGTTTTAAGTCATCAACAGATTAAACACTTTTACACAGAATATTTTACCAGAGTGTTCACTCAAAAGGTGACTGCTTCTAGCTAAAGCCTCCATATCATTCTGTGTTTGAAAGTCTGATATAATGGCTGCTCCTGACAAGCTTATGTATTGAATCATATTTGCCCAAACACTTTTTAAAGGAAATACAGTAGATTATTCTTGCTCTTCTAAGCACAAGAGAGCTGAATAAGGTTGCTGGTTAATCAGCAGCAGTTCTCACATTTTGCCCCTAACAAGCATACACTGATTCTAAGCTCTCCTGCAGATCTTATTTCTGAGTTTTATTTTTAAATATTAGTTTATTACCTATGTGTTTTAGTGTTAGTGTAACAGATCTCCACTTCAGAACAATGATGGAAAGAGAACACATTGCGTTAAATCTCAGTTTCCCAAAGGTATTTTTGACAGTTGTAGCTCTGGACAACAATGGACAACTGCTATTGGAAAAGCTCTACTATGTCTTTCCTCCTCTTAAAAAGACGCTGGTAAAGCAGGCTGATAAAGGTAGTAAAATGGAACAGCATGTATCTACCTACCTTCCACATAGTCATGGTTCTGCTTATAGAACTGCAGGCAGACTTTGGATTTAAAAAAAAATGAAAACACTGTGGAAAGTTTAATCTCTTCATTTAAAAAAAAGAAATCAGGCTTAAAGCACTACACTAGCAGTAAATTTACTATACACAAACACGTTCAAAACCAAACTGAAACAAAAAAAAATGCCAACCACCAAAAAACCCAAACAACCCATCACAAACAAACCAAAAAACTTGCACTGTTGGGAGGATGGATTAAAGATCTCCTGAATATTTCCTAACCTGTGTGAGTATCTGATTGTTTTGAATGTGTTTAGATCTCTTGGATATCCCCCTATTTAATTTCTCTTTCTGAAAAGGAGAAACAGACTTTAATGTAACATTACTCTTTGAAATACAGAAACATTAAAGAAAAAAGATGTGTGGCATAATTATTTCAATATTGCTAAAAGAAAAGTTACATTTTCAAGGAGAAATACGGGAAGGCAGTTACCATACAGTAAATGCTCTAGGATAATACTATGCACATGGTAGCACCAATTTATAATGCAGGAGGTTTCTCTTTCCATAAGCTTGAACGACATTACCACTTTCCAGCTCCTTTCAATTAGTCATCTATACTGAGAAACGTAACATAGTAAAAAGAAAACGCAACTTAAATTATTACAGCAAACATCAAAATACATTGATAAAGGAATTGTTACACTGTGCAAAAAAAGCCAACACTTAACTTGAGAAATTCACAGAGTCACAAGTGATGTCCATCTACTTTAAAATAAGATGTCCTTTAATAGGAAGTGCTTTCACTACTGCACAAAATAACTAGCAAATCTTATAAGACCATCAGCATCTGCACTGCTCTCCATTATTTGTTACATTTAAATTGTAGGATGTCCGCCTGTATTAAAAAAGGAGTATCTTTTAATGGTGTTAACATATTATAAGGGTCTTTACTTCAGCAAATTGGGCTGTGATAAAGATGACTTGAGCATGCCTTCAAAGATAAAATATTTTTGCAGCATGGACCTTTAGAAGTTGAAACCTGTTTATCACATCACAAAATTCAACAACCATAATTTTTCCTTTTAAAGCTAAATAAATTAACTTTTAAAATGTACTTATTTCCCCTTAATTATTAAAACTTGAACATCTAATGAACATATGGGCCACTCTCCCTCATCAGTAAAGCATCAGACAAATAAAAAAGCTTTATACACGGCACTAGCATAATGTTTTTTGAGAAAATATAGGTTAGGCTTTACTACCTAAGTAACTACACAAGTAAAATTAGAATATTTTAATAGTACCAAGGAAACAAGTGTGTCATGAAGATTGGATTCCTGTTTTCCCAATCTCTGTAGAACACTTTGCAGAGCTGCTAATAGATTGAAAGCAAACAACTTTATGGCAGATCTTTTAAAAAATTATTTTAAAAATTACAAAATAAAAAAATCTAGCAGCACTACTTCCTATTACTTCTAGGAAAGGTGGAAAGGTGTTTAGAATATATATTTTAGCATGAAAACACAGAGAACTATTGCACCAAACAGAAAACTGAAGTACTGTACACTATAGGAGCAAAAAAAGTATATGGAAAAGCAACAGCAACAAAATAACCTTTAAAAAGGTTACATTTAAAAAAATATAATAAACTGTTCTGAAATCTCTGTTCACCTGAACTTACATGAACAAGTTTCAAAATTATGAGAAATGAAGGGCAAAGGAAAAAAGGAAAAGCCACACAAACTTTTCTGAGCTGTTGTAAATTATCTGTGGAAGGTCCCAGATAAAATGATGGAACTGTAGGGGATTTTTTCCTCATAATTGGTCCTGGGACCAAACTAAAGAAGGAAAGTTGCTTGGTTGTGAGCCAGAATGTGAAACAAATACTGAAATCCGGAATGTCCACATTCTGTTACTTAAAAAACACCAGGCACATAGAATGGTCAAATGAATGGAGTTTCACATGTGGGAAGGAAAAAAGGAAGACAGCAGACTGGCATAACTGGAGACCACGGGATTGCTGATCCAATTTGAGAAAGAAGATCCATGTAGCAGAAACTCTTGGGTGAATTACTGCCATCACAACTGCCTATCAAATTAGGTGGTTTGATGTTACACTGGGAAGAAAAGCATTTTGAAGACGTGTCTGAAGTGAACTTATGCAGAAAGAGAAGTTGTACTGAAAGTTTGTTTCTTTCACTGCTCTACAGTCAAAAGCATAAAAATAAACTTAATAATACCAGGCAAAAGAATAAAAATAGCTTGCTCTCTCTCTTCCAGTCAAGGTTTCCTTTCAGCCCATTGCAGGGAATAACTACCTTCAAGACAAAACAATATACTCCTCACTCCTTCAGCTGAAGAAGCTCCTACATTCTTTCAGATGTATGCAATCACAGAAGACTCTTAACTGACTCTTCAACTTGAACTGTGTTCTTCTGGTAATAACCAAAGCCATAAGAGAAAAACTTTCTTTCAGTGAAATTCTTAAGAGATTTTGTTTATTGGAGGCACTTGATTTTTTATTAATTTTTTTTACAGAGAAAGGAAGTAAATTTTTGTCTACATGCATACACAATCAAACAGGAAACCTGAAAGTGATAAACAAGAGAAGACAGTTGCCAGCTTATTTAGCCTATTTACAGAAACAGCAGCATTGAGAATAGGTTTTATTTTTAAGCCAATAGCTCTAAGGATGAAGTATGCAAGGGCTTACAGAGACACTGTCGAAAAGATCAAAGGATTCAGAAGTGACAGTAATATTTTCAGGAGCACTGTCTCACTTCAGAGCTAAAGACAGGCCTTGCATGGATCATGTGTTTTATTCCATTGACGACTCTGCTCAGCAGTTCAAAGTGGGTTTAATTCTAGCTAACCCACTAGTTTAATATTTCTGCACAAAGACTGTGAATCTGTAAGTGTCTTGAGATTTATTAGGTTCATACTTTGCTGCTTTCCTAAGCTCAGAGACTTCATATGTTATTATATCATTCATGATAGGTATTATCAACACTGTGGAGTGCAGAAAAAACACCACTACTGCCAGTGGCAAGCATCTCTTCTTAAGTCTTCTGAAACACTGTCACAACAATAAATCAATAGATAACTTAATCTTGTGTAACAAAAGACAAAACATGCAGAGAATAAAAGAAGGAGCAGCTAGAACTGACGCCATGATTATTCTCATAGCTGAAATTCAGATCAACAAAGAAACATCAAGAGAAAGAAGTTTAAGATTCCTACTAGAAAATTAAAATCAGAATGAGACGAACCTGAACAGAGTAATTAAAAGTTCCTTGACAATACAGAGGTCAGTTACTTTAGCTGAACAGCAAAAATACCACTGAATTATCCATTCCAGTGTTCACAGTCCTGAGTCTAAGGGAGAAGGAAAATAAACAGCTAGCATAAGCTGTGGGCTAAAGCTGCACTTCAAAAAATTAAACATTGCTTGTCCCATTTTGAAAGTTTATTGGCTTTTAACTTGTACTTAAAATCTTTGGCTTTAGTCTTATCCAGACAACTCAATTTCCCAGCCTCATCAAGCAGAGGAGAAAGGGAACTACAAAAAGCAAAGACATAATCTAGGGTTATTAGCATTAAACATTTATCAGAATTTGGCTGGATATTCTCCCCTAGGACTCAAATAACATGCATGACCCAAGTACTGCAAACTGATCCAAAGAATTAATATAAAAATATATACCAAGGGACACATTAGTTTACTCTCCTAGTTCAAGGCAGGATCAACAAAAATCTATGTAATTCCTGGTAGACATGTATCTAATTTGTTTTAAGAGAGATCTAGAGTTTCCTCTCATCTCCCTCACAGCTCATGACAGAAACCAACTGTACCTGTTAGAAAAAAAAATCCTTGTACTATCTAATTTGAATTTTTTTTATTTATTTTTTTTTTTAACTCAGGTCTTCTTTTCCTTAATCCAAACACCTTTTTTCATTCCAACTTATCTTATTTTTTTCTCCCTGATAATTTTAAGCAGTCTTCAATCAGCCCTATTCTTCATGAAGATGCATGCCCCAAACAGTAAGGAATAGACAGGTTATTTCTGGTCGTCATGCAGGCAATTTCTGGGTAATGGCAATAGAGAACAAATCCAAGGATGGCATTTCAGTCAGAATTTAATATAGTAAGATATCAGGAGAATTAGAGAAAGAAGCTTTTTTTCTGTGATAATCAGCAAAAAATTTTGAAACAGATGACCTATTTAAATATCCTCATTATGACCATGCAGGCAGCTCTTCAGAAAAGACATGGGGACAGAAAAACATCGGGGTAGTTCCTGGAACTGTGTTGGGAACAAAAATCCTTGAATAGAAGATGTAAAGAGAAGTTAGAAAGGATGGCAGTACTAGGTTTAACTTTAAACAGTGGAAAGAAGCCGCTGAAAGTCTTGATAATTCATGAAGGGATGATTCTTCATTTTTAGGAAAATACAGGAGAATGCAAAAAGAAGAAAATGGGCTTCTGGAAATTAAACTTGCATGCACAAAGACTGTAAGCACATCAACAGATAGGCAACTGGTTTGCTCTTCCATGAAGGAGTGGCACTGAGCACTTATACCAGATGCACAGGAACACCTTTTCTTTATTGACACCTAATTAGAAAGGTGTCTATGATTAGACAGCTACTAAAAATAAAACAAGGAACAAACACAGAAAAACTGATTAGATTATAATTAAATAAATTAGATGTTGTTAGATCAGTTGAATCTGTTGAAATCGCATAAGGTATTTGTAGCTGACTGGACTACTCTCAGAATCACCAACAGTAATTTTTGAGAATTTGTAGAGGATAGGAGTGATTCCAAAATACTGGAAAACATCTAGTGAGTATCTTTAAAAAAAATGAAAAAAGGCAGGGTCAAGGAAGCAGAGATACAGTAACTGAAGTTGAGTTGAGTAATACACAGACCTGTGAAGAAAAAGTTACTTCAAATCTCTGAAAATACTCTTTATGACATAATAGTAGACCCTGTAGTTAGAGAAGCAGCAGTAGGTATCATATAGCCTGATTTAATGAGTCTTCAGACCTTGCCTCTCATGGGGCTTTCATAAGCAGAGAAATATAATGCTGCAAAAGGAAACAAATTCTAATAAGCAGATGACAATAAACTTGGAAAGGCTGCATCCATGCTTAAAGATAAGACTATATGTTAAAGCAATCTTAATACAGAAACCATCTGCAGAAGACATGAATACAATTCAGTAAGGGTAATTCCAGACTTTAACAGGAATAAGTAATAGCAGAAATACAAGATGGAGAACAAATAGCGAGGCAGCAGCACAGAAGGAAAGAAGCACTGAAAACAGAGTGGATCATGCTCTGACAAGCAGTCTGTGTCTCACTAGCATAATCAGCAAAATCTCATGCTAGGATGTATAACCAGCAGGTTGCAAGTCTAGAAAATGACAATGGGATAGGGGACTGTTTTCAAAAGAATGGGACAGTGGACACTAGGAAGGAAAATCCAGAGAGCACTGTACACTGAGGTGAGCTGCTGTCTATGTTCTTTGTAAAGAGATTTCAGTGTCCAGAACTGTTGACCTGACACTGTTCACTACCAGCACAGGCACAAATGTAAAAAAACTACTTCTCCCTCCTCCCCCACCTCCCCTGATTTTGTACATCTCAAAATAGTTTGCCTTAAAATTTTTCACTTCTTCGGAGTAGCAGAACTGCCTACCTGCTGACCATTTTAACAACCAACCATCACAACAGGAAAGATACTTAAAAAAACAAAACTGAGCTGTACATCTCCAAGATAAAGGAAACATGTCTCATAGGACATGTCAGCAAGTTTTTATTTTAATTTCTAATACAGATTTGCTCTGTAGCATCAAAACTTTCCTCCTACTGTATTTAATTATTTGAGTAATAAAAAGTGCAACTTTGTATCTTTATTGCAAACAAAAGAAGCAGAATAATCTTACAGTGTCCTTTTAAATATTACACCTAATGACAATGAGATTACTGAAAATCATGTTATTCATTCAGATTTACTACCACAGCAAAAAGCTTTAGATTGATTAATACTGCAATATATTTGAAGAATTACTAAGCCAATTAATCTCATTCATCTATAAATGGAACAGTAGAGAGGAAAATTTTTTAAGAACTTACTTTAGGATTGCCAAGGTTCTACCGACAATGATAATCGATATAAAGGAATAAGTGAAGTATATTAAAGTAGTAACATATTGCTGGAGCAAGTTCAGACTTGAAGAAAACACAAATCAATACAGAATAAAATATGCTAGTGCCATTCTACTGCTTATAACCAGATGACTGCACTTCATAAATCTACATCCCTTGCTCATCTTAGCTGGCTGTACCACAGAGAACAGGAAAGATCATCTCTAGTAACAGCATAGGTACCACACTGGTGTATAGTCCTGAAATGAGTCTCAAAACAGCCACCCTGACAAACTGGACACCATGCTCTGTATTTGCATGGGTTGGGCATCATTCGATAAGCCATCTGGACACTCTTCACAAGTGAAGTCCCCCGCGTTTAGTAGTCACCTTGATAAACGGGGCACTGTCCTTATTCGATAAGGAACAGTGGCTGGTGAGAGGAGCCCTGCATAGGCAGAATGCCCTCTTGCAAAAGACCATGCACGAAAATAAGGGTCATTGCTCAGTCAGCCCTGTTGGGGGCAGAACAAATGAACACCAGGACTTCCATTTCCCACCAACTCATCTCCAGAACATTCTTGAACCCAGCACTGAGTCTGCACAAAGCAGGCCGAGTCTCATCCGGGAGAGGTTTGGCCAGGTAGCATAAAAGAGGCAGACTTGAAACACTTGGTGCACACACCCACCATCCAAGGACCACAATGTTATGCTAAGATTGTTGCTAGATCCGAGGGTGGTGACATATTTTCTATCTCCTTTTTCTTCATCTCTCTTTCTGTTTCTAACTCTATTCTTGGCACATAAGGGTAACATAGTTTACAATTTTGCTAAGTTTTGCTGCTTGTGACCTGCTGTTTTGAGAATAATATTATGTGTTTCTTGACAAGCTTTATAATCCTACTCAACTTTAAGTAAAGCTGTGTTTTGTATTACCTCCTGGGTAATGGTCGTTACCCTTACAGTACTGCACAGAGAATTATAGAGGTTAACCTCACTGAATGGGTTGTTAAAAGAAATTAACTAAGACAAGGTTAACCTTGCCCCAGGGGCTGTTCAAAAAGGTTAACTCGACCTGTACCAAACAGGTGGGATGAATCTGAACCTTACTCTAGCGTGACTTGAGTGTGACAGAACAACTGGCAGAAAGATACTGAAAGAAACTGCAGAGCTGAATGAAGTAAATGGCAGACTGTAAACTCAAAATTAAGTGAAAACAAAACATGACTTACACATGAGCCTAAATCAACAAATATGTATATGAAGTAAAATACCTTATTGGCTCCTATTAACAGATAGACACTGAAATAAGTTTCCAGGTTTGTGCCTAATCAATACCAATATGCAGCAGAAACACAGCTTTTACATGAAATTAGATGTTATATGAATATCCAAATACTTGAAAATAACAAACCTAGAACCAACATTCTTTGTTTTTACAATTGCGGAATTTGGAATTTCTGTGCCAATCAGTTTAGGATGACTTAGCCTATAACATGGTACAGTATTTCAAGTAAGGAGTAAAGAACATTGAATTTTATCCTTCTCAGTTATCTAGATACTCATGATCACGTGGTATCCTGCAATCTACTACACATACACATACCTGTGCATACCATGCCATGGAGAAAAATCAGAACGAGACCTCATCACCCTCTACAACTACCTGAAAGGACATTGTAAAGAGGTAGGCGCTGGTCTCTTCTCACAAGGAAATGGAGATAGAACAAGATGAAATGGCCTCAAGCTGCACCAGAGGATGTTTAGATTAGACATTAGGAACTTTTTCACTGAAAGGGTTGTCAGACATTGGAACATGCTGCCCATGGGGGTGGTTGAGTCACCATCACTCTATGTGTTTAAATGTCATCTAGATGTGGCACTTGCGAATATGGTTAACTGCTGGACTTGGTAGAGCAGGGTTAATGGTTGGACTCAATTATGTAATTGCAGGTCTTTTCCAATCTAAGTGATTCTATGAATCTACGAATTTCCTTCCTGTTCCCCTGCAAGTCTGTTTCTCAGTAATTGAAGAGATGAAAGAAATCTAGCTTTGAACCTCTTTAAAAGAAGATTTCTCCTATTCATTCTGCAGCAACTAAAAGTGGTTTTTATATTTAAATCTTAAACACTGCTTTCACTACCTTCCATAGGCTTTACACATAAAATGTTACTCACACACTTTTCAGGGAAACAAGATTTTTTTAAATTACAAAGAGATGCTATTATGAGACATATGAGCCTTTCCCATATAGTTGTCTCACATCACAAGATGTTAGAAGAAGAAAGCAATCTATCGACTACGTGAGAAACAGTATCTTAATAAAAATAGATTTTCAAAGTTAGATTCTCCTGCTTTTTTTTTTGTTCTTCTATGCAAATCCTTGCAGCATAACACACATTTGGACACTGACTTTCAAAAGTTTTCATCCCCTTGTTTCCTCAGCATAATTGTCAAATATACTTAAAACAAGTTATTCACAGGAACTAAAGCATTTTATATCTTTAAAAGGTAGCAAATTCAACATAATCTTGCATAACATCTCTTTTGGACTTTTACCAGAATACAGCTATTATGAGGCTACCAACAAAGCAGAGCACAGTGATGCAATGCAAATGATCATGCAGTGTTCTTTTTCTTACGAATAATAGTGAATTTGGTAAAAATGTCCCATGAATACTTCTAGTTCACCAGAATAAGCTCAGGAATAACACATAATGTGTTACTGATCCTCATCATGGGCTTGTCCTAGATTTTAAGTTCCATATAAAAGAATATAATTGAAATACAAGCAGATGTCTCCCTTTGCTTTGAAACAGCAAAAAGTATCAAACCAATCCATTAGAATACAAATTTTTTACTTTTTTAACTGTTGCAGAAGTGGAAGCTGCATCTTGTAGGAGACCCCACCAACCAACCAGTCTTCCTTAACTCCTTTTACTTCCTTCCCAGGTTTCCATCTCCCAGTCACTAGGAGACCTACTAGGTATTCAGCCACCTCTGAGGAACAAGGCGCATACTCATCTGAACCAGCACCATTATAAACAACTCAGTATCCTACCTCTGCAGCCACACAGACTAGCTCAGTGTTCAAAAACCGCTCTCCTTCCATTCCAAATTCTTTATCAGCACAACCCCTGCTACCACAGGTAACAGCAGCATGTCACACTGAAGATTTAAGTGCCATGCCACAAATCCAAGTGAGAGAAGGCCTGTGTTTAGTTCCATCTCAAGCTTTCTCCATGCACATGGTGGCAGAGGCAACACAATCATCAAGCTTCACAAAACATGTAAAAACTGACCTTGTTTCTTTTAACCCTTCCTTCTGAATGACTTCCAGTATTTGTTTTGCAGTCATTGGTGAGTTGGGGTATTTTTCCAATGCCTGAAAAGAAATAATAAATGTGTAAGTGACAAGATACAGCAGCCCTGTAAATCCGAAAGGTTACATGATTATTCAGTTTTTATGTAATCATTTGTCATAGGCAGGGAACAGTAGTGTTGAGACTGGAGTCCTCTTTCAGTTGGAAGGCCAGATACAATAAAAAAAACTGCAGCAAGGATAAAATTTACTTGCTGCTTTTGTGCATCATCTGCTACATCTACCTAGGAAAAATTCTTACCAGGTTCCAAATAAAAGAGTTGAAATATGCAACCAATGTTATGATACAGCAACATAATTCCTTTCAGGCAGGAGGGAATAAAACCCCAAAACAAAACGAGAGACAGCTAGTCTTCTTTTTAAAAAATTTTATTACTTTAAACCAATTTGAGGTAATTTCATTACTCTACACTTAGGTTTTGTCATGACCGCAGGAACAAAATTGGCTAAAACCTTCAATTTGCAGAGTAGGAGTAACTGTGAGAAACTACATAGATAAGTTTCAATTGTAAAATGCATTTTGTTTCTAAAAACAATGAAGAATGAAATAGTCACAACAGTCATAGCACATAAGATGCCACATGACAAGAGTGCACTATATTTTTCCAGTTCAGCTCATTTTTCTACTCCTTTGCCTTTTCCAATTGAGCCCAACATAACCCACTCCTCTTTTCAGATACAACCACCTTGTACATTTCTGATTTTCCACTTCTTTTTTGTCCCCATCAGTTTTAAGCTATTAAACAAACAGACACTCTTTTGCTCACGTAAAGTGCCAGACTGACAGCCCTGGAAAATGAAACCTTTCAATCAGCAGTAAAAGGTGAAGCACATGCCACAGCAATCAAGCTTCCCAGAGTATCTTGCCAACATATCGTCTAGAACTGGCATTTCTGCCCCAGGTAAATAAGAAAACAGTTTGTTCTCCAAATTCATCTGATCCTGAGCTTCTCTTAGTAGTTACCAAATGATGGCAACTGTGAAAGTAGCTATTACTAGGTGGATGCCTGCCCACTAGGAAGTACAGACATCACCACATTGCATCATGCAAGTCATCAAACTGTGAAGGGTGCTAGCCAAGGCTGTAATTCAAGTAGCTCAAGTAGCCTCTCTACTCACTACAACTTGAGCAGCTCGGCTCTCTCCTGTCATTTTACAGCTCTAATCTACTACTGCCTGTTCTCTCCTTTTGTAGCCAAAACAGAGTTTACCAAATCCTTCAGTTCTTTGTTACAGATAAGCTTTGTATCCTTTATCTTTCAGTTCCACAAAGGAAAATGCAGAAGTGAGGGCTGTGCTAGAAAGGTCTGGGAGCTGAACTGAGCTTATCTCATGTACATCAATAGGCAAGATTCAAAAGGGACCCATCAGGAAAGGAAAACCAAAATGTGACTTGAAAGGAGAAAGAAGAGTGAGTAGGAAAGAGTACAGCAATGAGTAAGGACAGAAGGAACTGCACAGGACTAGGAAAAGGGCCACTGAACAGCCAGGGAAGCTAAATGATACAATATATTTGTGACAGAACCACAATGACACATTGGAAAAATGACAGATTAAAATAAATAAAATGAATACAAGATGAATGGTCTGAAGAGATAAAAAAACTGAAACTTCAACAAAGTTGAAGGCCAAAGACAAAGGATAAGGTAAAATCAGAATATACCAAAATAAAGGGGAAAGAAGAGACTTGAACTGGGAACATTCCAGAGGGCAAACCATTAAGGACAGAAAAGGAAACTACGCTGTACTGGACATGGCTATGAAGATAACTGTGTGCACTTGAAAGTGGGGTTACTCACTGTGGAGGATTCCCTGTTTCTCTTCCTGAGTACAGGCCCCTCAGCACACCTGGGCAGCTCCTCCCTGCAATTGAGAAAATTTGGGTAGCCCTGTCCCCTTCTCTATGATATCACATCCTCCTCTATAATAAAGTCAGTAAAAGTGCCAAGTATTACCACATGAGTTTGACAGTAATGGGAAGAAAACAATAAAGCTATGCAAACATCAGAATTCACCCTGTTCTGGACAATGAGAGAAGGGAGAGGAGTTTGTGCTGAGGAAGCTGCACTGAACTGGTTGGGGAAACAATGGCCAGACATATGGATAGGGAAGATCATCTTCACCAAACAACAACAAAATCAAAAAGCAGGATGCATAACACTACTACAGAAAGTTTAATCAAACCCACAAGGCAGATTTCAAATACCACAGTATGAAGTGAACATATTCAGGGTATAATGACAAACTGAAATGCAGAGAATGTTAGACAGGCTGAAAGTACTGGAGCAAACAATTGCCCATTGTATGGACTTGTTTTATGCTGGACATGTAGCTTGGGCTGCAGTTCATATACTCCATGAATTTAATTCTGTTCATCTAGCGCTTTAAAGCCTGTTACTTAAAGAACTGTTCGTACTCTAAATGAAAAGCATTAATTCTCCAATTCAAACACTGCTTAAGTTTAAAATCCAGTTATCGTGTATCTGATTAAGTTTCCTTTATCAAAACAAAGATTAATTTAGCAGAGAACCTGAGTAAGGATGTTTTTTTCTGCCCCTTCCACCAACGCTATCATCTGTTCCCCCCTCCCAATTTTAATCTAAACATTTATCAAAGTAAGAAAATAAGTACTTGCAAAAAAATTTAATTATAATCTCATTTTCCTCCCCCAGGTATGGAAAACAGCATCAGAGTATTATTTAAAAGTCTGTGAGATAATGAATACACTGAACTGATAACTGCACTTGGGTCTTTTGCCAGGGTATCTGACCAATAAGACTACTAAAAGCCCACAATACCTTCTGCATTTCTAAGGCCTTTAAAAATAATATTAGAAATTCAAAATTAATTACTGACTGTGCCTTAGGCAAATAAAAAAATTAAAATGCAGTAGCAGAGTTAAGTCATAGACTTTGTGGTCCGAGAAAGTAACGCAGAACAGGGGAGGAAGCCTTCATCTGTTTTAAATATCTTTCTCCTTCCTCCCACTCCATCCACCAACACTAGTGTCGTGTAAGGGCAGTGACTAATAATGCTGAAATCAGAACACGCCAAAGTACTGTCAGGAAGAGTACGATTCTTTTGATGTATTTTGTTAAGGACAGTGGCAAAAGAATGGTTTGCACTGACTGCAACCTTTATATCACAGAGGATCAAATATGCTCTATTTATTCCTGCCATTCAACCATAGCCTTAAAAAGGGACAGCTGCTAAATAACTGGGACAAATAATTTTATACCCATCAGGACAATCTGGAAGAGAACAGAAGTATTCATTGCAGTGAACATATTCTTGGTGTTCATTCAAACCCTGCTAAATGCCTCAAAGACAAGACAACTCAGATCCTACCCAGTACAATGGAAATTAAACCTTCTAGCAAATAGTTGCAGCCTGACAAAATGTGATGTTTGTATCACCTACATGTATCAGCCCACAACTTCAGAGACATCCAGTAATTACACAGATGCCACCAACACATACATTCTCAGTTTCACTGGAAAACTCATGTCAGTTCTATGGGACAAGAAGAATTCCAAATTTCTTTTCTCCTTATGGCATCTATCAGCTTCCACATACTGACAACTGCTCAAAAAAAATCAGTTGCCACAGCGGTGAAAGAACGTTAACAAGAAAACTCTATAGACTCTCAGCTTTGAATAAAAGACAAATCCCAAATGCTCAGCTTACATACAAAATCAGAAGAGCACCTCTATATAATTGATGGAACAATTGTTACTTGTTAATTGTTCCAAGCTTAATTTATATTCACAGCTGCTTGTGAATACCTGAATCAGATCTGCTCAATAGTTTACATTTCAGCCACTAGAGGGAACACAAGCAGAGGGACAGCGCGAAGAAAGGCGAACTAAAAAGTCAGCTTTCTTGCCAACCTTAAACATTCCTGCAGAAAGTGGGAGGTTTTGCCGAAGAAGCCAATACTCCTGCAGCTATCAGTTATTACACTGATAGAAGAAGATTCTTCTAAACAAGAAGCAAGTGTAGTCGGACACTGTGCTGTGGTCCAAAAGCAGCAGGCAGTGCAGTCTAGGGGGGTTGTCGATGCTGACTGTGCAACCACAGTACAATTGGTTGGAACCGGCTGGAGCCTCTTCCATTTCTGGAAGCTGCCTGCAGGGATCTGAAGGTGAGGTAGCTGGCAAATATCAGGATCACATTATCATATCTGTTTGGCCAAACTATAGACTGTGCCACTACTCATAAACTGAAGCAATTCTCTTTAGAACATTATTTAAATAACTCCAGAGGAGAAAGAGGAATAGTACAATTATTGTCAGCTAAATACTCAACAGCTAAAATACAAGACAGGCTGAACTGCACGATAAACAGTCTTTACTGCCCAAGGACAGCATGGTGAATAAAATAACAGAAAAATAACTTTCCTTCTCCTAAGCAGAAAATATATGATATTTTCTAGCCACCCATTACTAAATTAATGAACTGAAAGATGGAAGCCAAAACAGGGTACAAGAACAGCATCCTGGAAAAGATCCAGCATTGTCTTTTCCAGCTGCTTGTGTGAGGTTAACAGGACTGAATTCTATTGTGGGAAATACCCCACTCAAATCCCTTGTATTCATTTTTGATTAACAGCTTTAGTCATTGGGGAATTATCAGTAGCCTGGTAAAAGTTCAAAGCCCTTTGTGTGTAGAAAGATGAGTAAATGGTTAGGGGAGGAGGGCAGGGTAGGCTACAGAATGGGAGAAGAAAAGAAAGGGATAGAGATGGATGAAGAGGAGGCAACCGCAAGAAGATCAAGAGGAGGGAAGGTACATGATATATGAAAAAGAAGAAAGAGGGATGGAAATAAGAAGGGAAGATGCACTGCAATCTATTTTAACAAAGAGATATTCATGGACCGCTTAGTGATGGTGATTAGGAGAAAGGTAGAGTAGTTTCCAAGTACTAAAATATTAAAAGAACCTGAAACAGGAGTGGTAATTCTCCTGGTAGGACTTTTGTCTTTGAGCAGTTGCAGT